AACACGCGGCAAAAGCCACCATACGAGCTTTGAAGCCACCTTCGAAGCCACGGTGTCCTAAAGAAGCTTAAGAAAGGCTATCCTGTGCAGAGTGCCTGACAACGTGCCATCGATCTTCACTTCATTCACGCATGACAGACTTCTAGATGTATGCAGAAAACCCAAACCCCCAAGAACATTCCTATGACTTCCCAAACCCGAAGCTGCAGAAGCCCACATCGAGGCGTGCACCAGGTGCGAAAAAGGCACTTACGTCTCCACCATTGGAGCGCATCGCTGTGTGGAGTGCTCTGGCCTTGAGTAAAGAATGAAGAGACTCTTGTCGGCTCACTTTGGGGCCGCATCTTGACCAAGGGATTTGATTAATTTTGGCTTGGAGTTTGCGGTTCAGAATCTTCGAGGGCTTAGGCTTTGGTGTTGATCCTAAGAGGGGCGCCCACAGCGCGAGATAGAGGGAAGCGAGCGAGCGAGCAAGCGGAGTCAACCTTCCTGCACGTTGCTGGTTTACCTTTTTTTAGGGGGAAAAAATGATCCCCACTCGCCATCTCGCCGTATGGATTTCCTACTGCGCCTCAAGGTGTGGAATGAGGCAAGTGACAGAGGACCCAGGGGTTTAGGGGCTGTTCAGGGGCTTCCTTCCATTCGGTGAGATTGGATTTCAGCTTGTGCGAATGTCGTGGTGGTTGAGGAGGGCATGCCATAATGTACTGGGTGCTGGCATTGAGGGCGGACACCTTGAACTACCAGACCCTTCAGAAAGATGCTAACATGAGGCCAACAGCGCAACCCCCCGGCAGTAGTCCTGCTTTGGTCCCCAACCTCAACCCAGAGACCCGTGCGCAGGAGAGCGGTGCTCAGAAAGCCAGCGACTGCAAATGTGCGGAAGGCCGCATTTGTTGAGAATCCCCTGATAAGCCCTGAAGCGGTTGAAACAAACTGTCCTGAAAGTGTAAATGCCTTGTTTGCTTCAATGCATTCGCAGGCCCCAGGAGGAAGAAAACGAGAGAGAGCGAGAGGGGGCGGGAGAAGCCGCAAAAGCACCGGAGCCTGGCCCGGCTCGCCTCTCAGAGGAGGGGTCACAGAGGAAACTAAAGAAGGAAAGAAAGCTGCAGAATACCAGTACAGCCGAGGGCTCATGAGAGAGAGATTGGGATCACTGCACAAACACATCATGAAAAAGATCGCCTTGTCATGTCCAACATGCAGCTTATAAAGTTTTAACGACGAGGCAAGTTGTAAAGGTTCCGTAAGCGTTTTCAGGGTTTCAGGGCTTTTACGGGCTACCGGGCTTGAGGCTTAGGGCTTGCAGGCTGATGTCCGCAGCGTCTGTTCTGCAAATCTTCGAGACTTTCAATTCAAATCTTGTGACAGCCTGAGTTTTCAGGGAATCAGGGCCTTGGTAGAGACGAACATCGAGTCAGAAGGATTAACAGGCGCCCAAAACAGGCATGGAGACGGCAAGTTGACGTCCAAAGGCTCGGGTAGCGAATCTACCCAAAGTTCCGGGGGCCAGCACCAACTGTTCAAAGGGTACCTTCTCGAAACCATCCGTTTAGCTTGCCGGCTCTCTGCTTATTTCTCTAAACTCTCGACAGTCTCGCCAGACACTGCAGTGCCACCTCCACCGCTTTTGCCCAGCAAAGCCGCGCAAAATAATCCCTGCGCGTCAGCATACTCGTCACTCAAAATTCCTTGAAGGCCCCCCCCACCTTCCCCGTTAAGCCCGATAACAGTGCATAACGCATAAGACCCTTGCAGCGGAGCAGCTGCTTGTCTTCTGCCGGGAGAAAGGGATTGGGGAAGCTTGCTAGCAACAAACATTCCCAAAACACCGTGCGTCATAGTCCATGCGGAGATCTGCCTGTCAGGCACTTTCCCAAGCCCATGCCGAAGCCGGCTAGTCATGTAAGGGCGCATCGAAGCTTTACTAAATCTCAAGATGAAGTGCGAAGCCCGAGTTCTTACAGGCCACAAGCCATACAGCCGAATAATCACGCGATCTGCCCCTCCCATTGCAATTCCCCCCTCTTTTAGGGAGGTGTGGAGGTGTGTTCCAATACCGCACCTGAACAAGAACCATCTTTGCAGAGACTAAGTCAACTAAACCATTCAGACAGGGACCTTCATGTGCAGCGGCGTCGGCTGTTTGGACTGCCCACAGGGGCTACGCTGCATTTCAGGCATTACCGGGCAGGAGTTCATGCGCAGGGTTTAGGGCTTAGCGCTGTTGAAAGAGTTTAGGCAGAACACAGGGTTCTGGCTATGCCAAACAAAAGCGCACCCATTTACTCGTAGTCACCTTTGATCAGGAGGAAATGTGCTAGACAACCGGCAGACTCTGGCAGACTCTGCCTCCAAAAAAAAGGAGCTTCGCACATGTCTATGGCCTAGAGGCCCGCCTCCAGCAGAAGAACCCTCACAGCCTTAGCCGGAGCAGATCACAGAAAGCATGGTGTAGAGGCCACACATCAACATTCAGCCATAAGCTTGCCATTCACCATGCAAGCTCTTTTGCCGGAGTTTTCAGGCGTAAAGAGTTCTTCTGCAGCCAAATCAGCCGGGCAAGTAGCGCATCATGACTGAGTCACCGACCGTACAGGCCTCTTGCCACCAGTCCAAGAGCCGGGATTCTGGACGGCTGTCGAGGGGCCCAACCAGCGTCTTGGAAGCAAGGGCCCCCTGTATTGGGGCCAATCCTAGGGCCAGGAACCCCAAAGCTCTTTCCAGATGGGGTTCCTCAATTCCCTATGCTCCTGGGTTGTTTCAAGCTTTATGCCACCGTTCCCCAGGGTTTGGTAGAGATCATAAATCCCATGTAGGCAGTTGGGCTGCTCGTCCCCCGTTTTGAGATGGCCGACTCAAACGAAGCAAGCACAGGAAGGAAGGGATGTGTTAGGGTTTAGGGTAACTGATTATGAGGTTGCTGACAATTTGAGGGTTTTAGGGTTGCCGGATGTTCGGAAAGAGACACACAAAGATCCACAACAGCGTAGCACGCATGTTGCAATACCGGCTGAGGGCTTCAAGGTGTTGAGGGTTTGGAGTGTAGGGCCTCAAGGTTCGGGACAGTGAGGCTCTACGAGGGTTGAAAACTTCGAGGGCCGAATCGAACGAAAGCAAGATATCCATCCTGCAGCAGCTATCGATGCACCTGCGTTTAAGTTTCGAGTCGTTCGTGGCTTTTAAGTCGGAACACGACAATCAGACGCATAACAACAAAGCCATGAACCCACAAACACCGGCACCGACAAACAAGCCATTGCAGGCCATTGTGGAGGGCTTCAGTAGTCAATGCGTCAAACGAATCTCATGGATGAGCCCATTTACAGTGAAACGAGACGGAACGAACTGGAACGAGCAAGACGAAGTGGAATCAAGCTTAAGGACATGAAAGAACAGCGACTGTGACAGGGCAAGTGCTTGAAAGTGACATGCACCCATGAAATGACATGGACATGAGCATGCAATTGAAAAGGATGGTGCAAGCACACATCAACTAGGGTTGGAATAAAATGACCTTGTCTGAAGTATATTTGCATGCCAATTGTTGAGGTAAGTACAATGACAAGTATTACAATGCAGTGATATGAAAGGAGCAAGATGAATGCCTACATTCAGCGAAATGAAAAGCAACGACACGGGCATGCAACTCAGCAGGAGCATTGTCGTGGGTTTAAATCACCTAGATGATATCGATAATAGGACAAATGACTGGTATGGACCAGTTTGACTGGCTGGCTGCCTTGAAAACCTCTTGGGCAACACAACAGATACCGAACTGTCCTGGAACCACATAGGTACATGCGTGTGAAGAGCCAAGTACATTGAACTAAGAGAAGCACGTTCAAAGACGTTGTGAAACAACTTCAGCAGCGATGCCGGCTATGCCTGAAAGGTGCAGATTCAGCGTCCTCCGCTGTCGAGATGCTCTGGAGTGCCCTTTCGGCCGCATGTTTTGTTAATGCTTTTTCGTTTAGAATTTAGTGACCCGATCAGGTCCAGAGAATCTGCTAGGTGGCTGTGCGGAAGGACGTGAAGGCGAGCGGCTGAGAAGTTCAGCCACCAAAGAGTCAACAGAGCCCAAAATCGTCGCCGTGTTAAGGCTCTAGCATAAGATCCTATGTAATTCCGAAGCTCTGGTGCCTGTGTGCTCTGAGAAGTTCTGTTTGACGTAGAGGGCCTTGGGAACGACATGTGATGGTCTATCTTAAACAAGTAGACTCGACTCTGAGCAGACGGTCTTCTTGTCATACCTTGACCGGACATGTTCTTGGAAATCACAAGTTAGCTTCAGTTTGGCAGTTGGTGCGACATGTGCCGAGATTGTAGCAAACAAGGTGCAGTTGTGTTGGCAGTTGTTCGGCATCTACAAGAGATTTCATCTTGCTGGGAGACCATAACCACTCCGTAGTCCAAAATGCACCGAACTTATTTTGCAACGCCCTGCACTGACATGAGCAACTAACCAGAAGCAGCTTTAGACGGAGGCAGGCAGAGAGAGAGAGAGAGAGAGACAGAGAGACAGAGAGAGCGAGAGAGAGACAGAGAGTGAGTGTGTGAGTGAGTGTGGGTCGGCTCGGGTGCACTCATCTAGCAAAACAGCATGGTCCCTGATGCCATCTCAGCCATTCCGAAAATGTCGTCAAGGCTCCAACAACAGGTCAACACGGTGTGCCCCTCGATCAAAGCTGCGCTGCACCCGGGCCTGCACGGGCCCCCCAAACTGGCATGGCTCATTCAGAGGCCCGCTTAGGTTGCTCGCTTCGGATCTGAAGCTCTTTTCTCGTCCTGTGGTCGGGGAAGACATATAGAATCCCGCTTCCCGTTCGCCGCGCCGCCCCCCCCCCCCGCATGGAACGCTCTTTAGAAGGCTCAAACGGGGTGGGGTGAGGAAGGACAATCACACCAAAAGACCACCCATGGGTCGGGTCCAAGAAAGATTGTCTTACCAGACACTCTGTCTCTGAGAAGGCGACCTGTGTTTTTCTCGTCCCCGACAGGCCTGGCTTGCAACAACTGCCGCGAGGGCTACTACTCCCTAGAAGGTGGAGCTTGCACGCGGCCCAGCAAGCGGCGGGAATGAGAATTTTTGAGTTGGATTTAGGGTTTTTGTCTAGGATTCAAGGCTTGTTGGGTTTCTGGCCGATGGAATGTGGCACATGGGACGAGAAGTCTTCTTGGTGCTCAGTGGGAGTTCTCTCGTCTCTGTTGGAAACTCTTTTGCGAGAAGCTTCTGTTTAACTTAAGTTCTAAGAACCTTCCTGCCTATGATTTTGGAAAACATAAAGGTTTTCTCGCTCAGACCATGCTCCTTGACAGATTGTGTACATCCCAAGACATCCACGCTAAGACCGATGACCCCCCTTGGCCGCTTACCACTCCCATGCTTGCGCGCGATCCCCCGCATATTGCCAACTGTCAAAGTTCTGCGGTCATGAAGGCATGTGGCACAGGCTTTCCCAAGCACAGGGATTTCCATTTGAACGTTCCTGCCCGGTACCGGTGCCTGCCCGGTACCGGTGCACGTTGGGCTGGCCCGATCCCCGTGATACTTGCCATGGCTCAGAAACCACAGGTTCTTTTTCGGAGGTGCGACAGACACCCCAGTGGAAGGCGTCGACCCAGAACTTGAAGTTATGTGCATCGGACACAGCCACCTACACCTCAGAACACGAGGACAGCCCTACAGGGACATTTAACAACAAACCGTCCCCAGGTGCGCCCTGCAGCCCGGGAGACGTGCTGCCCTTCATCCTCACTGGGATCTTCGCGACCGTCGCGACCCGGCTGTACTCTGCGCCCTCGTTTTTGCGATGCGCATGGGCAGTCATGGATGAGTTTTTCCCAGGTCTCATGAGGATTCAGGATACAAGTAGTTGTGCGCTTGGGCCTCGGCAGGGCGATGATAGGATGAAGACGGTACTTTCGCGAGGCAAGCAAGATCTGTTGGACTGCACCGTTTTGTTGCAGATGCGCACAAGTCTTGTCATTTCTATGTGCATCTAGCTTTGATGGTGCGATGGTGACAGGAAGCCGTCCCCTAACACCCCTCCCCCCACCCTCAAAGCCCCCTCGGCGCACTCAGTGTCTCACGCATGAGAAGCTTAATGGCAAAATAAGACTCTCTGCCAAACCACACGTACTCATGCCGCGAAGGTCGTGATTTTCTTGTTCTCCTCTGTCAATGCGGACCTGAATCAGCCGCCTGCTTTCAGCTTCGATTTGCTTGATGGCATCAGGGTTCCTTTAGGGTTCCAGTGTCATTGCAATTCAAACGTAGAGTGCCCTTCTGCGCTCATGATGTCTTCCAAGCAATGTGCGCACACCATAGTCTTGCTTCGTGCTGCAAACCATGCAAAGTGTGCGAATCATGCGTTGAGGCAGCTGGCTTAGAATGCAGCGCCCAGCAAAGCATACAATAAGGGATAAAAAACGGGCAGCCATGAGACGACTCCCAACCGATCGGACAGCAAAGCCTCAACAAAGATGAAGCACTCCCACCCTGCCCCAAAAGAAAACACAATGAATGTATAAGCAAGAACACACACGCGCGCACACACACGCACGCTCACTCACTTCCTCACTCATTTACTCACTCACTCACTCCCTCACCCACTCAAGCTCACGCATGCCCCCTTTCGTGGCAGGCCTGCCTGCCCACCCACGCACGCACGCACACCGTCCCAAGACCGGAATCCCACACACACCCGCAACGAACCCAACGAACCGAAGAAGCAGCAAGAACCGCTGAAAGCAAGGCCACCCACTCACCCACCCGCCATTCTGGGCCCTACTAGTATAAACAATTAGGCGCATGAGTTGATGGGTTGATCAAGGCTCCGGGCCATTGCATTGGAAGCCGGACCCTCGCATGGTCTACAGTTCATAAGGCAGTCGCTGAGTATCGTCACCGTTGCCGCGATCTTCAGCCAAATGGTCATGGCCATCCAGGCCCACAGCGCGCCAGGTTTGTTGAAATGCTGCTCACGTTTGTTGCCTGATCGAGAAGATGTCCTCCCCAGCCAGAGGCACTGGGCTCGATCCGGCAACTGTCAATCAACTGGGTGGGGCCGGTGCGCCACTTGATCGACTTGACCAGGCACGATGGCACACGAAGGGTTGAAGGTTGAGGATAGTTTAGGGTTGAGGCACGAGAGGACCAAGGGAGGGTTTCAGACATCGTTGGCATCCGATGCCCTTCGCCATCAGAGCCAAGCTGTTGACAAGCGACCTCAACTCTGAACATTATTCTTAAACCAATATGATCTTATTGGTCTTATTATTCTTATAGTATTATTATTAAACCCGCAACCCAAGGTGCTGTGGGATGCTGTGGGTTTATTCCGTTTGGAGTGACCCCGGGCGGGGACCAACCAGTCCAAACCTGAACCCTGCACCTGAAAGGGTCCAGGGCTGTTAGAGTCCAAGCAGTTCAGTGTAAGGGCTTCATGCAGCGCTTTCTTCCCGTTTGGCAGCGAAGCCCGGAGAGCTTCAAATAAGCTGGAGAGCGCACGCAGGAGATTTTCGGCCGGAATTTAACCATACGGGCCTTTCTTGAAGGTTTCTTCCAAGGTGTCTGAGGTAATCCCCTACTGCAGCACCTGGGGCTTCCGCGTTAGCGTCGGTCGTTAGGAGCCAAGGGGCTGGGGGGGTTAGAAACGTGCGCCCAGGCGGAAAAGCAGGAGTGGAAATTGCTTGCCAAGGAAGTTTGAACCGCTGTTGAACGAGAGAATGTCGGCCGAGCAGACTAGTTCGTTGCATCTGCGATTTTGAACGGTAGCCACAGTCGACCCATCTCCTCCAAACATCGTGACATCCTTAGCATGCATGCAATGGATGCACTCGAACAGTGAGGTGTGACTCCAGCATGGATGCGGTGTGAAAACTTGCTCTCAACATTTTCTGCAATTCTGATAGGGCACCCCGCAAACAACTACATTTACGGGAAGCTTTGCGGACTTAGGGCCCTGAGGGTTTCAGAATCCATGGCTGGGTACCAAGTGGTGCCCAATTAATAGGCTATCATTTATATTGTCATTTCGCGTTCCGATCAGCCCCTGCCAGGTTGTTCACCTTCGACTTTGATATCATCCGCATCTCTTGCCTTGCTGGCCAGGATAGCCGGCTCCTCACTCTTGGGGGGGTTAGGGTTTGGGGCTTAGGGTCTGAGGGGGGGCTTAGGGCTTAAGGGGCCTAGGGGTTCGCTTCTTCCCCCGAACTTTAACACGGTAGTCTTGATGTGGAGCCTGGGTGTCTTTTCTGTCGAAGTCCAGACGGCTCGAATCAACAGGGGGAGAGATTGCAGGATGGAGCGCTTATCGATACCGGTGATAGATACCGTGTTGGCTCACTCAGACAGCCACATTAAACTGTCACCTCTTTCAAGCGTAGTGAGGTGACCGCCAACACAGCATAAAACAACTCCACCAGTCATGAACAGAAAAGAAGGTGATCAGGATTGAAGATGTTGGCCGATCCGATGACCATAATGCGGCAAAGTACAGCGAAGTCCATGCCATCTACACAAACTCCCGAGAGCTTGGAACCACATCCTAGTAGTTATTATAATAATAAAGAGAAATAAAACAACAAAAATAATGTGTATGTATAGAACTTATATAACAATATTAGATCGCCAACGCTTTCCTCCAAGGCCCCACTGTGAAGTTTGTTTGCCAACTGCTGGCCTTCCCAATGGGCTCCTGCCTGATCCTGGCCCCTTGAGCTGAACATGGATTCGTGTCTTGTAGGGTGGGGGAAGAGGCGGGCGTGGGGTTCAGAACGGTCTCTTTCTTTGGGGGTGCTTCTTTCTAGATGTCCACATCATGGTGAGATTTGCTAGATGCAGAGTCGAAGTCGAGCTTCTGGATCAGGGGTCTTCAACACCCTAGGCTTAAGCTGCAGCAGAATCCAGGACTGAATTCGCTTAGAGCCATCCATGTGCATGGCAGAAATGTGGGTGCTGTTGTCTGTATTCAGACCCTAAATCCCAAATCCGAAAACACGGCAAAAATGCGGGTGCTTTTCTACCCTAAACCCAACATCCGAAAACCGCTAAGCCCTCTTAGAGGTGGCATCCGGGACCGAACCAGGGCGTCATGCAACATTCAACGGCTTGAGAACTTTTTTAGGTTTTACGGTTGAGAGTCCAACATATGGCGGTGTTTTGTAGCACCCGTTTGGATCCGGCCGTTGAAGGCTTGGGATGCCACTCTTTCAACCAACAAGAAATGGTAGCTGCTTTTGTCGCCTCTGGTTCAGTCCCACAGAAGCGAACGCCGAAGAAGCAATCTAGGCCAGAGTCGCTAAGAAGAGTTTCTGAGGCAACAGAGTGCAACATCGTGGGCCCATGCGTGGGATTTCAGGCCAGTTTCAGATTTTTGGCCTGCCTTGTGTCTCCAGGTGGCCTGGGGCATCACATGGCTCTGGGGTCGGAAAGCATCGTTGGACTCAGCCCGATTCTCAGAAAGTTTTGGAGCGTTCAGGGTGGATAGTCAGCTGCGGCCACTCTGAGAGGGTTTCGAGGCATCCAAAGGCGACATCGAAGGTTTAAGTTCTTTTTTTCGCCAGCCCAAACCTTCCAGTGATTTAAGCCACCCTAATCCCCCGAATGCCTTCCCCAAGTCAGTTTAAGTTCGTTTCCTTACCCTTGCGACCTACGAAGGCCTCCTTACAGCCGGAGATACGATAGCATACGATAGCTATCGCATCATTACATCGGAAGGCCTCCTCAAACGGAGGGCCACCTGGTGGAGCGCAGGCAAACCGAAGCAACGCCCAAGTCGAACGGGGACTCCAGCCAAACTCCACATGAACATCTTGCGGTCTAGCGTGCAAGATACGCCAGCAGAAACAATCCTGGTCAGATTGCTGGGGAAGACTTCTCAGGAAACAGAAGAATCTTCGAGGTGAGTTCTGTAGGGGAGGAGTTTTCGCTTTAGGAGAGAATGTCATAATGTCGCTGTTTGTGCTTCTGGAAAGCTCTCAGGAATCCTTGGGGTTGAAAATGCTTTGGGATCTCCCGAGATGGACTGTCGGATGACAGTATATCTGGTTTTCTCCTCAGCGACGAAGAGATTTACACGACTGTGTTATCGCGGCCAGGTTTTCAATCTTAACGGCCTGTTGATCTTCGCGCTCTTCATCACACTCGCCTTGGCGGTGTTGCGCCCCTTCCAGTGTCTTTCGGCAGAACTCACAAGCTTTTGGAGAGTACCACTTCCCATTTTTGTCTTCATGTATCCGAAACACGATCGCTTGAAACCCTTCGAACTCAGCTCGCAGAGCCACCTACGTTACTCCCCTTTCAAGATGTCAGAAGAGCTCCCAGGCATCAGCAATCCAGCACCCCGGATGCAATGGCGTGACGTCGCAGGTCTAGCTGCTGGCTGCTGGCTAGGCTTTGAAGCACGTTTGCAGAGCAACGTGATTCGTAGCTCTAGAGCTCCGTGAACTCGAAGCCAAAGCCCACACGTTTAAACCTCGCAGGATGGAAGTTCTTCCATGGCATCGAACCCAGGCCTGGGCCGATTTTCAGGTTCAAGATCCGCCAAGTCCTTCCCTGGGCTTCATCCAGAGAGGATCCATTCAGACCGAATCCCAGCGTTTAGCGTCGAAACCCTCGTGAGAAGCGAAGCTAGGTCGAAAGCAACCTCGCGGCTTGACACCCTCCCTGGGAGGCATCATATGCTACTCCTCTTCCGAGCACTTGGTGCTCGTCGGTTTGTCTATCACTGGCACCCTGGATCAAAGTTCGCTAGTTTCTCACGATCAAGTCTTTCGTTACGAATGAAGACGTGCGTTGTTGACTTTCTCGCGCCGTTCGCCTTATGGGGCATGTTGGGATCCCTTTCATGAAGCTCTGCGTTGTTACATACCTCATTCATGGTGTCAAGAGTATGCTGCTCACCAACTTGGGGGGAAGGGTTACAAATAATGAAGCCACCACGGCGAGGGTCCTGCTGCTTCGACATGTGCGCGTGGCTGAATCATGACAAGGGGCTTGGAAAATAGGCGCTCAAGGAGAACACTTAGAGCAAGCAATATATTTTGGAGTGCCAGGGAATCCCGGAGCAGGTATCATCTGTTACCCAATGACCATCCTGTCTTGGGCCACCTACACAACTGCTCCTTGGCCTTTCAGGTTTTTGGGGAAGTTTGAAAAGACTTAGCAGTGTGACTCGGTTTTCTCCTTTTCAGCGGCTTTTTGCTATGTCAGAATTGGGGACCATGTTTAGCTTTGCAGGGGTGAACACATGGGTTCTCTTGGGGTCCCAAACTCTCTGAAACTCTTTCAGGGCACGGACGCCAGATTCGTGATCCCGGGCCTGCTATATATCTTACGGCAGATGATTTTCCCTTTCCTCGCGTAGATCTAGAATGTGCCGAGTGGTCTGCCAAGACTTAACGCGATCTGGAGTGGGCGGGGGGGCTGTTGTTGAGAACAGGGACAGATACGAAGGCACGAGTTTAGTACTTCCTGACTCCCACTTGAAGCCCCCAAGCCCACGCGGGGAGGGCAAAGAAGAAGGGTCAGGCGAGCCCATGGCCCGCGATTCATTCTTCGCATATGCCCTGACATGTTTCCCCAGTGCCCGTCAAAGCAGTTCTCTTAGCCTTCGCATTTTGTAGGCAAAGAGTACAGCTGCTAAGAGACTAAAACGAGGACTCATCCGATTCCATGCAGGTCATGTATCCTTTACGGATTGTCTCCGGCAAGGGCCTTCAGCTGATGTGGCTTGCCGTCAATCTTCGCACAGGCATACAGTAGCGTCGTTCTTGGAGGTTCCGAAGCGGCTCTCCCGCTTACAAGCTTTCAAGCGACATTCAATGCCGAGCAGATGTGGGGCTAGTTCTTGGTTTGCTGCTTGTGTTCAAAATCGCATCGTCGATTCCTGTGTAGATAAGTGCAAAAAGCAGAGCTTGCCACAATGCTCTACAATCTACAATCGAGACAATCTTCCCCAGTCATCCCAATCTCAGGAACCGTTATCGCTTCCTCTTCCAGCGCTTCAGGCACGCTCAACCGACAAGGGCGGGGGAATCCTGTGCCAAAGGATGCCAGTCTACTGGAATACAGTGAAGAATTATGAGGATGATGTGTCATGATAAAAGCATGGAAGATTCCACATTCAGAGGAAGCAGGATGCGCAGGCAAGGCCTTCAAGTCCCAACCCAACCCAGAAGGCCAAGTCCAAACCCGCCTGACCCTGCATACTCAGCAGCCCAAGCCCAGGTCAGAAAAAAAGACGCATTATTGTACAAGATATGTGTTTGTTCAGTCTCTTTTGTTAGATTTGTGGGTCTTCCCTTCTTGAGTTGGATACACCGGTGTCCTCAGAGGCATACTGCATCTCTCCCCTGTGGAATGCCGTCTACTGCGGCAGTAAGTTGAATCAGGCCCGATTGCTACTACTACGGCTTGGTGCTGCTGTTCCGGAATGTGCCTTGGGATCTCATCCAGGTGTCCAGTAAACTCAACAGTAGTTTACGTTAAACTCCTAACTCGGCTGAAAAGAAGAGTGTTAAAGAGTTTTTTCTTGAGTTTTTTCTCAGTTCTCGAGAAGATCTCGTGGTTCTCTCGAAGGAGTGAATTGTAGAGTTGAGGGAGACTGCCTTGAAAGACTTCTTTGACCAGTCCAAGGAGGCCAAGGTTTTTGATTCACACTCTTTCACGATTAGATGACCTTGATTAAAAGAAGGAGCAGCTTTCGTGGTCTCAGGCGCACTTAGCGCATATAGCCTGAAGTGTCTAAAGATTATTTGTTGGAAGCATCCTAAACTAAAGCCCCGAGCCACGAGGCTTTCGTCGCCTTGCTTCCGGTGGTGTTGGCGTCAATGCCGGAGCTTCAGGTTCGGAGGGATGGGATACAGGATCAAATCCTCTTCGATTGAGAGGTTCATACTTCGATACAGGAGCCCGCTCCAGCACTTTGTGCGGATGCCCCGCTAGCCTTGAGGCTACAATCGGGTTCTTCTTGTTCTGTGCCCCTCTCCAGAAGACGTGCAAACTTGAACCACCCAGTAAAGTCTTGCTTTAGCTTATTTTCACGATGCAAGATGACATCGAGCTTCGAGAGAGGTAAGAGATGACAAACCTGCTAGGTACTCGGCTGCCACAGTCGTAAACTTGCAGAGAACCACAGAGCTATTTTCCTGAAAAGCTCTACCTCGGTAGGTTCAGAATCCCGAGCTGCCATGTAGGCCCAAAAAACAGGTGCCAAACAATGGAATTCACCGTTTGGCCCTACACAATGCTAAGACCCTCCTACACCATGCCACAACTTGAACCATGCAGAGTTCCTCGGCAGGAAACCCCCAGGAACTCAAATGATTAGATCAATTGAACCTTAGTCATTCACTATACTACCTGCTAGCCACAGTCACAAAGGTTGGTGGAGCCCTCGCTTCAGCTTTCCGGCTTATATATATATTGAGATCTAAATGTGCATATCGGGAGGCTCAGCATCACATCTTTCAACCACGCTGGAAATTGCAAACACGGCTACCCTTGCAACCTGCTGGCCAGAGCAAAATCTCGGTAGAAGAAGCGCCACGTGCAGTGAAAAATGGTGGCCTCACCCTCGGCACAGAACAGGGCACCCAAAACCTACATCGCCACTTTGGACAAGCCTACTTTATCTGATGCCTTCCCTGGAGGTGCTGCTGATGGGTGTGCTCTTCGTTCTTGGCTGGTTTGTGCAAGTGCGAACCTGGCCCTGGCGCACGCAGGAGGCAGTTGCGCAGGGCCTGCTCAAAGCCTACTGAACTATCTTGTTGAATCGCTGTATTTAACTCGGCTTTTCAGTGGGATTTTTGTGGCAGCAGCTTGTCAGGCCAACTACGCGGACTCGATCATGACCGGCTTCCTTCTCGCGCACTGGTTGCAACAACTTCTCTTTGAAGTACATCATGACTAAGGTGTTCCAGGTCGCACACAAACTTAGCCTTTGTTTGCTGCTCTTCCTTGCATGGTTTCGTGCTACTCATGCCACTAAGGGGCAAAAACGCACAAGCGTACCGATGAACTTGACAAGGATCAATGCAGCGTTCGCCAGAAATCAAAGCTGTTGTCTTCATACGGAACATTGTGACATCAAATAGGTGGCGAATACACCCACATCCTAGTTCTACAGGCAAGTCCAAGGCTGTTGCTCTCCACGGCTTTCATTGCAGCATTCTGGTGCGGCTTTTGAAAGGAGGTTGCCGGCAACAGTGGACATGAAGGGAAAGTTGGTCTCGCCATGTTCTTGAAGCACACGGTCATTGACCGACTGCTACAATTGCCACAAGGTGGTGAGGTGTTCACACTCTGCAAAGGATTCCAGCTTCGTGTTTCAAGAGCTCTTCGAGGAGGGTCTACGGCTCCACTCACCCGAAACCGCTGAAACAAGGAAAGACTACGTGAGCTCTTGTGAAGCCTAGGTCGTACTCCTGGCGGCTGGGCCTCTGCTGAAGATTGACGAGGCCTCTGTAAAACACGACTCTCCGTTAAGGGCGTAGGGATATGAATAGTTTCACAAAGCCTGCAGAGAGCTCCCAGCACGGCTCACAAACATGTTTCGTGGCCCTTGTGGATTGGGCGGTACGGAGCTTGAACTTTTCCGACATTCGAACAGAGATGATGGCTGCAATCAAATCGGCGGTGCGGGAAACCACTTCTAAACCAGACGCGCAGCGTCATCCCAGCACTGCCTGGGATACTTGGAGTAGCAAGGTATATCCCGAGCGCAGAAGAACAAGAGACTCACATAGATCCTCTGAGCTTCGCGGCAGGGTCAGCGTTTCCGGGTCCGCCTTTTAAGATCCGCCCTTCATGTCATGCTGATCCGCCACATTTCCCTATCTGGTCACCACATATACAGCTTCGGGCTATTGACAGTGAGAACTGGCAACGTGCCTGCAGGCTTTCTAGGTGCGCAGTGTCAATCGTGCCAACCTGCACACGATGCCAGCAAGCTTGAATATGCCATAAACGGCACAACTAGTTAGCCTAAACACTCCGTCCCGACGTTCTGAGCCTTAAACAACCTAAACCTACATCTTAAATCTCTAGGGCCGAACTGCGCAATTGACAGGACAAGTCTGCTGAAATGCTGGGCTGGCTGCTGCTCTTCGCCGTGATGGGCCCGGCTGTTGTGGGCGTTGGCGCTGTTTGTGACCCGGACGAAATCTGAAGAAAGTTCGATTTGGGTTCCACAAAGATATGCAACAAGTTTGTGTGTGCATGTTGCCTGGTGGCCATCCTAGCACACTGCTGGAGGATTTGTTGAGGATTGGGGTCGAGGGTTTGGGTAGGGGTTCTTCAAGACAAAGGTATGGCGCTCCTGCTAGGACATAGCAGTGCCACGGAGGGATGGGAGATGGT